TGATGGGCTTTCCTTTGTATGTGATTTGTTTCTTTTCTCTAACTGCTTGTAAAAGTTTTTTCTTCTGTTGGATTTCTGGAATCTTAATTATTATATGCCTATGTGCAGGTTTTTTTTGATCATGGCTAGTTGGAGTCCTGTATTCCTCACTTATCTCTATGTCAAATTCTTTCCCCGTTTGGGAAGTTTTCTGCTATCACTTTTGTGAACAGTTTTTTATGTCATCTGCACTCTCTCCTGTTTCTTCATTGACTCTGATCAGCTTGATGTTATTCTTTGCATCGTCTAGCAGCTGCTGGATTGATTTCCCATGGCCCCTTACTATTTTTATGAAATTTTTCTTCTCCTGGTCACTAATTGCAATCCTATCTTCTATATCTGCAATTCCATCCTCACATTGGCTCATTCTGCTCTGCAAACTTTCACTGGAGTTTTTAATTTCCTGGAAATCTGTTTGCATATGTGTTATGGATTCCATTTGTTTCCTGTGTTGGGATTTCATCATGTTCCTCAGCTCCTCTGTTTTTTTTAATCTGTGTCCACTTTTGGTTTATTAATCATGTCTTGTACTGTGGGCACAATCTCTGCTGTTATCTGAGAAATTATTTGTGATTTTATTTTTTCCAGCTCCTCTTTTGTTGCTAGTTCAGGGAGCCCGGGTGGTTCAGTATCAGAGAGTTCCATCTCGTTGCCCTTTGGGCTTGCCTTAGGTGATCTGGAAGTCTGGTTTTGAGACTTTTTTACATGTGTTCTCATTTCATCAGATGCAGCCTTTTGTGTCTTTGTTGAAGTGACTTTTTGCTCACCCAGTGGTCTTAAATTCTCAGCAAGCGACCAAACAGCCTTTACTCTGCTGCTCACCAGTACACCAGTTCCTGGTTTCAGAGTGGTGGTCTTCTGGATCCCTGAGCTGACCTGTTGGGTGGGCTTCTCGCTGGGGACTGTGCACCCTTGGGGTGGTATCTAGGTGTGCCTCTGGCTTTGGCTCTTATGTAGTTGTTGTCTGGGAGGGACTTTGGCTGTGTCTGTGCATCCCAGTTCCTGCTCTCTGCACAGGTTTCTGGCTCGGATCTCCACGCACTTAGAAATGGTATCAGGGCAATCCTCTGGCTGTTGCTTGTGCACCTATGTAGCTTCTTTCCAGGTGGGTCTTTGGCTGTGGCTGATGACATGGCGGGCCTCTGGCTGAAGGTTGTGCGCCTGTGCAGCTCTTTTCTGGCTGGGCCTTTGTCTTTGGCGGGTGTGCAGGATCCTCTGGGGTGGGGTCATACCCCTGGCTGGGATCTGCCTGCAGCCGTGCCTATCTGGGCCTCACAGCTGCTCCCTGGGATCTGCATGCACTTAGTGATGGAATGGCAGTGAATTTCTGCTAGTTTATTTTTTATTAATCTTAGAGGCAGAGTGTCATAGTGGTAGAGACTGTACCAGTGGTACTTCAGTTCATGAAGTTGATTCTTTCTATGATTCTGGTTGCAAACCGAGTTGGATGAGAAGTGAATCAAATTCAATGGTTTGGTTCAGTGAGTGACCTTATGGGAAAATTTGAGTTGGTTCTCATCCAGTTCAGTTTGCGACCAGAGTTGTAGAAAGAATTGAGTTGGTGAACTGAGGTGTGACAGTATTATTCAATGCACTGGGTTTGAGGTGAGGGAGACCTTGGATCAAATTCTGTTGTGTTCCTTACCATTTTACCGTAATAACAAGTATGGGCAAGTTAATCAATTTTGCTGTGTCTCAGTTTTCTCATATTTAAAATGATGTTAATAATACTTAATTCATAGTTTTTTGGGAAAGAATAAATGACCTGAAGTTTGTAAAACAGCACAATGCCTGACCTATAGTGAGTACTTAGTGGTGACTATTATCATTATTTTCAAATCAAAATATATTCTTGGTCCATGAAGCCTTGGAGGAATTGGGGGAAGATACTGATATATATTTACATTTAATGTGGTACTTTATATCCATTGTTTTTTATCTTTCTTTTCAGTGTGGTAAAAAAAACATAACATGTTATGTTCTCTCTTAAGAATTCTGTATTGTTACCTACATTCACAGTGTTGTACAGTAATTTCTGGAAGTTTTCCGTTCTCTGTTGCTGACAGTCTGTCTCCGTTGTATAGCAACTCCCTGTTTGCTCCCCCAGTGCCTAGCAACCACCATTCTCCTTTTTGTTTGTGTGGACTTGACTACTATAGACACTACATGTAACTGGAATCATATAGTATTTGTCCTTAATATGGCTTATTCTATTTAGTGACATAGCCTCAAGGTTCAGCCAAGTTGTAGCCTATGAAAGATTTTCCTTCTTTTATATAAAATAATATTGTAGTGTATATATGTACTACATTTTCCTTAGTCATTTTTCCATCCATGAAAATTTATACTATTTCTACCTCTCATCTATTGTGAATAATTATGCCGGGAACACAAGAATGCAAATACTTTTTGAAACCCTAATTTCAATTTTTTTTGGATAAATACCCTAAAAGCAAGATTGTGGAATCATTTGGGAATTCTATTTTAAAAATTTTGAGGAAGCTGTATACTGTTTTTCCAGAGTGGTTACATCATTTTACATTTTCACCAACAGTGCATAAGGATTCCAATTCTTCCACGTTCCCATTAACATCTATTTTTCTGTTGGAACCTAAAGATTTACCCACAGGAGGAAATAAGTAAAGATGGAAAAGTATCACTGTCATCACAAGTACCTACTTGTCAGTTTTGTCAATACTTATAGAACATATACATCTTCAGAAGAGTTAACAGCAGTCCAAAATAGCATCCAATAGGAAACTGAAAAGGAACCACTTCTGCTAATAAGTTTTATGAACTGGTATATTCCATTGGTTTGCCTATTTTAGGTACAAAATTTTCCTTTTAGATCTCACAATTTTTTGCTCAAGCAAACAACTCCTGAGTTAAAATTTCAGGTTCATCTTATTGCTAACCCCTCTGTTCAGTGGCACATAGACAATTGAGGTCACATTGTTTCAGTATCTATCGTTTTATTCTCTGAATTGTTGGATACAGTTCCCTCTCATCTTTTTTTCTCTCTTAAAAAGTAGTTTCTACTTTTATCTGAGCATCTTCTCACATCTTTGCTGCATTCAATTATTCATATTATAGACAGAGAACAGCCTGGTTTTTCTAGCTGATAAAAACTCTTTTTTCTTTGGCAAAATCTGTAGATTTATTTCTTTTATCAATTTATTCCCTTTTATACTTTGATATTTTTAGCAATTAGGTTATTTCAAATAATCATGTATTTATTTTCCAGTAAGACAAATAATAAAAGAAATGGATTTTTAAAAATCTTTTAAAATAGGAGGATATTTTTACCCCTACTTTGGATTTCTTGTACTGTGTCTCTGCTTCTTACAGAATACCAAACCCCTTGCTTCATATTGCATTCCTTTTCCGTGGCACCTTGGCTGCTCAAGTCCTTGCTGCCTCAGCCACCTGCTGCATTGACTGCCTGGTCCTCATCCTCTGAAATTGAGTCTTTGAGTCTCCTAACCTTCAGGCTGCCTTGAATGCGCTGTAGTTCCTTCCTATCAACCTTTTGTTTGTATCTTTCTGAGTTTTTCAGTGGTTTTAATGGCAACATGACCTGCTGTAAGCTACTCCTTCATAGCTAAGAATAGAATTTCCTCTCCTGTGAACTGTTAAAATGAAGTTGCATTTGTGTCTCTTGTACATCTTGTCTCTTTTTGGTAATTTCTCAAGAAGGGATAGAAGTAATGTTCACTATTTAAAATTGGAAAGCAAAAGATGTATTCTTTCCTTTGTTTCTTATAGCCAGTTAATATGTAGGAAACAAAAGATGCTTAGAATATGTAGTAGAAAATTGACACTAACCTCTGAAAGGAACTCCTAAAGCAAGAGGCTTTTTCAATAAAGAGGCAAAGTGAATAGGATACACCACAAAGGAGTATGAACATTTGATATGTATCAGACACTGGACCAAGAAATTTTATCTATTTTTAAAAGTTTATATACAGTAGTTTTAATGTAGATATAATAATTTACATGTTACAGATTTGAAAGTTGTTGCATTAAAATTTAACTCACATACCTAATTGGTATATTAATGAAAAAAGGTTTAAAAGAAGAAATGATGTTGAGGTTGTAATATTATTTAATATTTAAATTTTATTTTAAATGTTTATCTTGGAAATAGTATACAAAGTACATCATACTAACCTTTCTAAATTACTCATACTTGTCAGAAGTTTACTTGTTAAAATGAAAATCAGTTGTCCCTTCAGTTAATGCTTTCTTCCTCTGATTTTAAGCAAAGTAAAGCTTATGAACAGTTTTATCCAGGCTTTAATTTGCAGTTCTACCAAGGTGAAAAACTCAAAATAACTTAAATATCAATTAATAAAAGAATGATTAGTCCTAGAAATGAATAGTGTAGAAAAATAGAGAAATGTTTTTTAATGGAAAAGACATTTAAAAGTGAAATGAATGAAAATTTATATACTAGCACTACAATCATGATAAAATATTTCTATATTTCTAAATATTTCTAAAATACTTATGTAATAATAAACTATATTGTTTTGTGATAATCTTTGTGTTAAAATTGAAGGTTATAGATTTCATTTTTAAAATATTATTACATTGCTTTCAGTACTCACTTAACACATTGGAATTAATAAAGAGACATGAAGAGAAGGTAACCTTCCTGAAGACAAGGACTTTGACTTAATGTATCACCATGTCCCTAGGTCCTAGACTATTGGCAGACTTAGTAAATATTCATTAAATGAATGGATGGCTAAAAGTATCTAACCATACTGTTATTAATTTTATGGTAGGAAGCATTTTTTTAAAAGATTTGATTAATTTAGAGGTTGATTTAATTTTTCTGCTGTTGTTTATGATTCATTTGTTTTCATTCTAATAGGCAATATACTTTTCTCAGGCTCCTTGATACCAAAGTGTTATAAGTTAATTAGAGGCTTTTCTAACCAAGACCTATTTTTTAGAACCAGATGGTCAAAGAACTGGAGGCCCGTGTCCACCAGCTTACTGGAGAAGCAGAGAACAGTAATTTACAGAGGCAGAAATTAATTCAAGAAAAATCAGAGCTTGAAAGATGTTACCAGATAACATGTAGTGAATTACAAGAAGTGAAAGCAAGGTATTGCCTGAAATCAGATATCCATAAGATGTAGCTACAATGTAGTGATATTAACTCTGTAAGTTATCTACAAAATTGAATCATACCTGGTACATTTAGTGTTAGGAAGTTCTCTTGTAAACAGCACTGCTCATTTATCTTTTAAAGTCCACTTTAGACATGGAAGGCATAATGTTTAACATTTAACAGTTAATAAAATGTGGATACTTATTTAATATATTAAAAGATAATATATTTGCAATTATTTGATTAAAATTCTATTTTAGGGATTGGTTCTAAAATAATGTAATAAGTTTTTAATATTATTGCTTTTAGGCGGAACATATTGCATAAAGAGAAAGATCATCTTATAAATGATTATGAGCAAAAGATGGAACTATTACAAACCAAATATGATGCTGATGTAAACCTTCTGAAACAAGAAAATGCTCTTTCAACTTCTAAGGTATTGTAAATGCTGGTAGATATATCCAAAGTTATTATTTATTCACTCTATAGCTATAGAGAGCCATGTAAAATCTAATTATTTGGCATTTGAAATTAGTCTCCCCTTTGCTTTGTTCTTGGAATAACTGAAACGCCAAGAATTTTTGTTGGTATTTAAGATATTAGATATATAATAGCACATCCTAAATATTTAATAAACTAAATACTGCAACAAGGTAATCGTTTTCAGTAGTACCAAAGTTTTTGAAGGAAGAAACTAAATTCTGAGAATTTTATTTTAATAACACATTTTATAGTTACAGTATATGTTATTATTTTGAAATCTTGGTTCTGTTTTAGTTTCAGAGTTGAAATTTTAAAAGTTTCTTGTATTATTTTATATCAGTATTGTGTTTTCATAACATTAAATACTATGCAGATTTGACTTTTTAACTTTGGAAGATTAATTTTATATTGTCTTTTAATACATTTTTCATTGAGATTTATAGATAATTTTAATTTTAATTGAACTTTCAAGGGAAAAGAGGTATATTTTTTCAGCCAGAAGTTGTAGGGTACAAAAATCAATATTCTATTTCTTATTCTTCTTAAAATCCTCCCAGGCGTCTGGTATGATTGAAGAATTAGAACAGAACATCTGTCAATTAAAACAGCAGTTACAGGAATCAGAACTTCAAAGAAAGCAGCTATTGAAGGTAGGTCTTGTATTTTTACCTGGAACAATGGCCTAAAGTCACCTTTCCTTTTCTTCATTTATGTTTATAAGTGAATCAGTTAAAAAAAATCGCAGAAATAACCGTTCTCAAGGTAGACATTTCTGATTCTTTTACTGTAATTTTCATTTTATTTTACTTATTTTAAATGACAAATGTTGATGCTAACATGTAGAGAATAAAGTATAATAATTTTAATTTGAATGATCTCTTTAAAGATTAGTTTAAAATTTAAACCTTATCAAAATATATCATTTTAGAATAAATTCTTCCTTTTAAATTATCAGCCAATGTTCATAATCTCTCCACCGTCTCCTCAATCTTTCTCTTGATATTTTCTTTTCTCTTATGGTCAAAAAGTACTAAGGAGTATTATTACAACTCCAAATGTATCATTTCCATATTGACCTAGTAGTCATTCTTAATCTCCTAATCCTAAGGGTCAGAAAGGTCCTCTTACTTTGTAATGTAGGTTCTTTTGAGAACAGTAACATCTTCAGACAGCTAAGGTTTTATTCATTGTAATATAAAGCTGTTTAAGTTTCTATTGTGACTTAGAAAATTGGGCAAATAAGGTGTCTTAATAGAAAACAGCTGTTAAAGGTAGGCCTTGTATTTTTACCAGGAACAGTGGCCTAAATTCATCTTTCTTTTTCTTGATTTATGTTTATTAATGAGTTAATTAAAAACTCTGACGTAAACTTTGACATCAAGTAGATTCATTCATTTCACTGTATTACTGATTTTATTGACTCTAGCAGTTATTCAAAATATATTAAAAATAATCATTTATCATTTGCAGGATCAAGAAAATAATTTTCAAATGGAGAAAAATCACTTAAAATGTACCTATGAGAAAAAGGTAATATGTTTTGTGGGAAGCTATAAAACATTTAAAATAGCAAGAGCAATTAATGGAGACTGATATTGATAAAGCCATAGATTTTAACCCTTAATTTATTTTTAAGTTAATTTCAGTCAACCAGTAATCAAATTTTTCTGCTTTGTCATGTTTAAAATAGCTTCGTCCATTCAGTTGTTAATTATATCAAAATACTATTTGGGTGTTTTATTTAAAGAGTGAAGAGTATTACCTTATCCTCTCATAATAAATACATTGAAATTATATTTTCTTTTTACCAGTTTAAAAAAATGAAACATTGGACTTATTTTGTTTTCTGTTGTATTTTAAGTGTAACGAGAACTTTGAATATTTCACTGAAGGAAATAAGACAATGAAAGAATTGGCTACTACTTAAAAATTGATAATTGTTTCTTATCATTTAGAATGGTATGTTCTATAGATTTTTTTGGAATGGAATGAACAGTTTACATACAAATTAAAGTTAAACATAGTTTATATCACAAAATTCCCAAACATTTTGTAATATAGCTTACCTATCCATATAGTTACTCAGAAGATATCCATTAAATGCTCACATTAGGCAAGATATCATATTAGGTTTATGTGAGGTTTAGGATAAAATGGGCATAGAGTGTACCCTTCAAGAACAGTGTGTAGGATGAAAAATGTTTCTGTCATTTAGAAAAGTAAGTATCTCCATGGACACATATTGATCTGCATATGTGTCTTTAAATTTATGGTGGAGTTTATTCTTGCTGTAGTTTTACTACAGCAAGGTCTTAAGTGATTTTATATTTACAAAATGATATCTGAATAGGAAGAATCATTGCTTTTATTGAAATAAAGAAGTTTTTTAGTTTCTACTGCTGAGCCATGCAGCTTCATAAATATTTTACTTACCAGAAGAAGAACAAGTATTATCATAAGCCTTGCTTGCCATTGTATAAGATATGTGGATCAGCTGGGTTCACTGTTCACTCTTTGGGCAGATCTGTCTGGCATCTCTTCCCTTACAGAGTATCTTTCTGCCACCTCCTGCTCTGTTACACTCTGGTCAGCCTCTTCCTGAGAGGCGGTGTCTCCGTACCTAATAAACAGATAAGCTGGTGTTATGGAGAAAGGCTTGCACTGGGTATTGTGGAAGAATATATTTCTCTCCTAAAATTCTTTAAGCCTTCCTGATCACTGTTGGATACAGAGATAAATCTAGAGACAATCTATCTCCTACCAGTATGTTTTCTTGGATATTCGGCCAGGTAGTAAAATAGGGTTTCTGCCTAGTCGGTCCCTCTCCCTGATAAATACATAAGGAAGGGGATATGAGACCTCAGTTCATCTTTATCCAGAACCTTCCAACCATTCCTGTTGTAGTTTGCTTCAGGGAAGAGACCTAAGCCCTCTTTATTGGGCATCATAACTACTGCTATTCTCTTGCTATAAGCTATCAGTTGACTACTTTTTTAATATTATAGGTAAAGCATGTTAATTGTTTTCATTGTAAATAAGACTTGTTTAAAAATAATAGCAAGATTTTAAAGAAAAATAGTCGTATTTGCTCATATTACATATGTTTTTAATATTATTTATTTTGAAGAAAATGTTGCTTAGCCTGTCACTTTTTGTTTTACAGTTAATTCCATAATATCCTTTTTAAAATTGACATCTGTTCTTTCTTTATTAAATTGATGTGACCTCAAGTCTTGAAGATTTGTTGTTTGGTAACCCCCTTGGGGAATATCCTTTTTGACTGCTCAAAGAGCTAACATAAATCTCACATAGCCCAGGACTGTGTAACTGGATAGCTACATGGGATGTGTAAGGCTTTTGTTTGTGAGGCAGTGTTACAGGTGTGCATGTTCAATAACTTTTGGAATAAAACTAAGTTCTGAATATCTGTTCAGGGGTGAGGAAATACCATCTGAATGACATTATTTCCTTGTCCCAGTATGAAAGTAGCAGAATGGGAGCATGCCATTCCAACTTGTCTTTGAGGTAAAAGAAAAAGCATCAGATGCTGTCCCTGATTTAAGCACACACATTATGTAGTGATCTTTATTGATCTCTGGTGGCTGTTGCTTGCTCTTAAGATCTTTGAACATCAAACAAATAATAGGCAGTAAAACTAGATGTCATTGTTTGATGAAGTGTCCCAATCTGTTAAATCAGGAAATGGTTAGACTAAATGATTTTACTAGCAAGGAAACACCTGCCTCCCACAAATAACCTATTGCTTGTTTCGCAAACATGCACCAAGGAGTAAAGGATGGTGCTGTTTACTTAAAAAAGTTAGTGAAACAGATGCTAAGCATGCATGTTCTTAAATGTGCCAGAATTGAGTTATCTATTTAAGATAATTCTGATGTAACTAACAGAAAGATATGAATTATGATGGAATTTAAAACCACTAAAATAGTTATCCCATTGTTTAGCATTCTTACATAATTCTTTTAATCATGTTTAAGATAATTTAAAATTTCCACAGTTTTACATATATTATATGGAATAGTATTTTTCAAGTACTACTGACATGATTTTCTTTAAGAGATTTTATAAAAGGAAATTGTGCAGCAAAAAGATTTAGAGAAATCATGCAACCCAATGTCCCATATTTTTCATTTTGAGAAGTGGAGATTAGAGCAGTGAAGAGACATGGTAAGGTTGTTCAGCTGGTTGTTTTCATGCCAGCACCAGTTCTATGCTCTTTACTATGCTACGATATCTGCCATAGTATGTCTGTTTCCTGATGTATAGCCCAGTCCCTTTCTCGTTTATATAGGTACTTTTTTCTTGATTACTTAAATTCTTAGGATGCAAGAAAGTAAAACACATTTAGAAAATGTTCAATAAATGTGCTCATGGTTACCTAAATGAATTATTTGTAGCAAATTTCCATGTTTGAGAATATATTATGCAGCCCTAACTATCGGGTTTGAATTTTTACTATTAGCACTTTAAACCCACTTTTGGTGTTAACAGTATATATTGGGGAAAAATTAGAAATATTACCATATTAAGCCTTATCCCTACTGTCATTGGGCAGCATAAGCTTCTATCTCAAATAAACAGATAAAAACAAAAGAGTTGGGCAACAGCTCTTTCATGTTATTTGTTCTTTAATTTTCTTTTATGTAAAATAAATAATTTTAACCCAGTAAGAATATTTATAGTCTTTTTTGTTTTTGGTACTGGGGATCGAACTCAGGTCCTTGTGCTTGTGCAGCAGGTGGTGAAACCACTGAGCTAAATCCCTGGCCCTATAGTCTTTTTTATTGAGATCAGTATGCACTGATTTTCTCACTTACTTGGTGTTTATCCATCACCTGCAACTAGAAGGTCAAAACTAAAAGCGTAATCCAAAAAGACCCTGAAGCATACAATACAAATATATTCGTTTAGGAAAAACCAAACCCAGAACAGCATTTATAGACTATTATAGTGTGGGCCAGGTGTGCTGGGCACTAGAGGTATAAAAATAAGTAAGAAACAGCTTCTATCTATAAGAAACTTCCCAGTTGAAAACTGTGCGCATCAATATATGCATGTTTCACTCAGAGGGCAGTCCCTCATCCTCCCACCCAGATAGTTCCATTCTTCCATTAGAAATGGCTTGAGTAGTTTTAGAAGTAGTAAATTAGATCAAAGTGCTTGTTTTAGCACTCTGACCAGCATCAAGAAGTGGCAAGAACTTAAAAGGGCAAAAAGTCAAGGGAATTATTGTATTGTAGGACATTGTGATTCTGGGTGTTCATAATGACCTGGACTTACTAAGAAAATGTTTCTATGTAGAGTATTTAATTTTTTACATTTATTATATTCCCAATATTACTTTGTGAGCTTTACATGGAATAGTTTATTAATGTATCACAGTTCTTTGATACGCTTGCTATCATAATCTCTACTTTTCAGAGCAGGCAGCTAAGATATATAATGTTCAGGAACTGATAAAGTAGGGATACAAGTCCAAGGAATCCCATTCCAGGGCTTTCACTCATAATTACCATTAAAATTTAGATTTTTCTCAAAAGTGGAAATATATATATATATATATATATATTTTTTTTTTTTTGGGGGGGGTACTGGGAATCAAACTTGGGTCCATGTGCTTGCGCAGCAGGTGGTGAATCAAAAGTGGATATTTAAAAAAATTTTTACACTAAAGGGATAAATCTCAATGCTTTAATGCAGAGTTTTGAGTCTCAGAAAAATACTGAGCAGGAAATAGAGGGAAATCATGGTGACAGGGTACATTGGAGATGCAGTCCCAATATGTAGAATGCCAGCAACTTCTGTTAGGAGTTCCCATTAGTTTCCCATATAGTGTATCATTTCAGTGTGCCAGAGGGGAGGCCATGGCCAGGAGAAAATATAGGCTAATTAAAACCCATCTGAGAACTGGATTTTAGTTGTGGCTGTGAGAAAAAAAACACACTAAGAAATGTGCAGTAGAAGCAAGGTTATGCACCCTATATATTTTGTCAAGCATTGAATCTGAATGGTGAATGCTGTTGAAGGGTAAGGAAGGAAAAGAAAAAGCCAAAATGGGTTCTGTCAGAAAATATTATAGAACAAATGAATGAGAACACTCATTGTTGAATACAAGCTGATATGAGGTTTATGAAGGAGAAACAGTTATAAGGAAGGAAGAGGATGATGTGAAAATGGAGCTGATTGTTTTAACAGGACTATAAAGAAGCTAAAAGCACATTAGCAGATTTAAAATCCACAGGGGAGCTAAGTGGGGTAGAACTGATGTTGTAAAAACTAAATCAGTGATATGAAGGAAAAATATAATTATCTTTTAAGATTTTAAAAGAAAAGGGCAAAGAATAAAACATTTGGGGAATAATGGTAGACACTAAAGCATAAAAAATCCAGTATGTAACAAATTGATGTTTTTGAAGAAGGGCTTAGAAAAAGCTGACATAAGAATAATTGAAGGTAAAAAAAAAAAAGAATAATTGAAGGTATAAGAAAATTTTCAGACCTTATCAGACAAAAATAAATAAAAGATTGATAAACATTTGAATTACAGTACAAAGAAAATGATCTTATGTATCCTGATCAGGGAGAGGATCAAGTACCATGATCAAGTGGGTTTATCCTTAGGGTGCAAGAATTGCTTCACTAGGGAAAACAACAAATATATCACATTAATAGGATGAAGGATAAAAAACACATTATACTCTCATAGATGCAGAAAAAGCATTTGACAAACTCAAACATCCTTTCATGATAACAAACCCATAGCTAACATCCTATTCCCCAGAGAACAGGTCAAAGATTTTCCTGTAAGGTCCAGAAAAAAGACAAGGATGCCCACTGCTGCCACTTTTCATCACCGTAGTACTGAAAATCTAAGCCAAAGAAATTAATCAGTATTTTATTTCAAGAAAGGATTTTATTGATGTAAAAACATGTTTCCAGAATCTTTACATTAGGTCATCTCAGTGTTCACTTTGGAATTTCAATTTTATTCTGTGCATTTAAAAGACTATATTTGGGTTGGAATGGTATTTCTGTTATTTTGGTGATGTTTACATTCCAATTTAACATGCTTACTATGGGATCCAAAGGAATCAAGATAACCAGGTAAGTTTTGAATGTGGTAAAATTTTGAACAAGTTTTCTTTTCTCCCATGTGAAAATAAAATAAATGTAGTGACAATGATTTGCAAAGCAGATTGATCTTTCTCTTTCCAATAAGAAAAATTCTTTATGAAGTATTTTAATTTATCATTTAAAATATGTAGTACATAAAGAGAAGCAAGAAATAAACCCACAAGATTTATTTCAATTGATGCAGAAAAAGCCTTTGTCAAAATGCAACATCAATTCTCACTAAAAAAAACCTGAAGAAAATAGGTATAGAAGGATCTTATCTCAATCTGATAAAAGCCATTTATGACAAACCAAAAATCAACATCATATTAAATGGAGAGAAGCCAAAAGCATCCCTTCTAAAATTAGGAACAAGACAGGGTTGTCCTCATTCACCAGTACCATTCAATATAGTTCTTGAAACATTAGCCAGAGCAGTCAGGCAAGAACAAGCAAGAAAAGATATGCAGAGGAGAGGAAGAAGTCAAATTATCATTATTTTAAGATGACATAGTCCTCTACATAAAAGACCCAAAAAACTCTACCAAAACACTCCTAAAATTAATAACCAAATTCAGCATAGCTGGATACAGAGTCAGCACGCAAATCAATAGTGTTCCTGTACAGTAATAATGAACCCGCCAAGAAAAAAATTAGAGAAACAATACCTTTCACAATAGCACCAAGAAAAATCAAATACTTTGTAATTAACATAACCAAGGGCATTAAAGAGCTCTATAATGAAAACTACAGTACTCTGAAAAAGGAAATGGAAGAGGATATAAAAAAAATGGAATGATATTACCTGTTCTTGAATAGGCAGAACCAATATAGTCAAAGTAGCCATGCTTCCAAAACTGATATACAGATTTAATGCAATCCCAATCAAAATACTACTGCTAGCATTCCTCACAAAACTAGAGAAAACAATCCTAAAATTCATATGGAACTAGAAGAGATCTAGAATAACAAATGCAATTCTAGGCAATAAGAGAAAGGCAGGCAGGATCACAGTCTTAGACTTCAAGTTAGACTACAGAGCTACAGTGATTAAAAAAAAACCCCAGCATGCTATGGAAAACAAACAAAACCAGACATTAAGATCAATGTAGCAGAATAGAAGATGCAGGCACATTCAGCTACCTGATCTTTGACAAAGGGTCAAAAACTTACCCTGGAGGAAACAAATGTTGCTGTGAAAACTGGCTATCCACATGCAGAAAATTGAACTTAGACTTGTATCTCTCATCATGTACTAAACTAAAATAAAAATGGATCATAGATCTAAATATTAAAACAGAAACGTTTAACCTTCTGGAAGATAATGTAGGTAAAACTCTTGAAGATATAGGAGTAGATAAGAACTTTGAAGATTCCTCCAAAAACTCAAAGTATAAATTCCGTTTCATCCAGCTATTCCCCTTCTAAGTATCTTCCCAAAGAATTAAAGACACCATATTATAGTAGTACATGTATACCTATGTTCATAGCAGCACAATTCACAAGAATTAAATCTTAGAATTGCCCTATATGCTCACCATCAGATGAATGGATAAAAATGTGACATTTATGCATACTAGAGTAATACTCTGCCATAAAGAAAGATAAACTTAAGTTATTTGTAGGAAAATGGATGTACCTCAAGACCATAATGTTAGGTGAAATAAATCAGACACATAAACTTAAATATTGCATGATTTTTCTTATATAAGAAACCCAAATATAAATAAAGAGCAAAATAGAAGACAGGTAATAGAAAACAAAAGAAAGTTTCCTAGAGGAGTTCTTAGTTTATTAATCAAAACATTGTGATCTTATTTTCCCATTTTGTGATGTTTGTAATATTTGACAGCTTTTTATTTATTTTATTTTTTGGTACCAGGGATCGAACTTGGGTCCTTGAGCTTGCAAGGCAGGTGGCAGGACCACTGAGCTAAATCCCCGGCTCTTGACAGCTTTTTATTTATTTTTAATTATTTTTTATTTTTTATTTTTTTTGGTACCGGGGATCAAACTCGGGTCCTTGCGCTTGCGCAGCAGGCGTTGAAACCACTGAGCTAAATCCCCAGCCCCCTTCACAGCTTTTTAAAAGTATATAAACTTTAGACTTCACTAACCAGAACTTTTATTCTATTCATGATAATTTCAATTTGTATTTTTGTCAAGTAAATAAACCTTTGGATGTGAAAAAAAAGATGTTATGTTATGTACATGTACCAATTCCCTATGATGAATGTAATCATTATATTCTGCAAACATGTTGATTTTATTAATTTATTTACTTTACTAAAATACCAAGGCAAAGATACAAGAGAATTTTAAAAGGAGAAGGCCAAAGAGTACAGGGTTTGAATTAAACAGGTTCTATCCAGAATGACATCAATTCCAGTTATTTTTGACCTGCAGTAATTCTGTGTTTGATATAGTTCCTAGTGCCATGTTGTTGCTGCCATTCCTCTCTCATCCCACTGTTTATTAGTTTTGCTTTTTGTGGTTGCTAGCAGGTCTGTAGTGGGTATTCTTGATCCACCAAGTAAAGAGCCTTCTTATCCCATCAGCTAGGCTCTGCATCCTCAGTTACCATGTATGTGGGACTATGGCTGCTGATTTTCTCCTCTTTGTCCTGCCTATTCAAATATAGAATGTTATATTCAGCAAAAAGAGTCATGGGAAGGGGATTCTCTCCTGAACTAAATAAAGGGATATACAAATCATGCCTGCAGTGGAAGAGAAGACTATTTTAACCTTTTAACTGTTATATTATTTCAACTATTACAACCCTTACATGTTTAGGTAGTGCTGATACATTATTTATAGTATTGTATTGAATCTTGTCAGATTCCTTTTTTGTTGTTGTTGTTGGTACTGGGGATTGAATTCGGGTTGTGGCGCTTGCAAGGCAGGCAGCGAAACCACTGAGCTAAATCCCGGCCCTCTTGTCAGATTTCTTTCCTTTGGCTAAAGTATAATTTTAAAAAGTGATAAGTAATCGGTACCTTTTTGAGTTTCTTACATATCCATTTATTTTTAGAGAATCTGTATGTAGGTTGATTCAAGCAATTATTAGCTTTAAATAGAAACTTGATATTAGAAGTATAATGAAATAATTCTATGGTACATGATTATGGTTGACCAAATTTCTGTCTTGATGTATCTAAATCTAATTTTGTACTAAAAGTCAATTTGAGATTAGTTTTCTAATTTGGGTTTCTTTTTTAAGTAGACTTTACTTCTAGTAAATTTTATATTTTCTTGTCATGGCAGGTTCATGATGTACAGTGTGAACTTGATAAAGAAAAAGAAGATGCTCAAAAGAAATTTCATAAACTTGAGGAAACTTTGAAGTGAGTAAAATCACAATATATATTTATATTTAAAAATACACTCATATTAAACTGGAGGAAAAGTAAAACTAGGCATATATTTTATAAGAGCCTTGTTATGAATTAGTTTGTGTTTTTTTTTCCTTCATGAACCTATTCTCACAATGTTATTACAAGTCAGATTTTTAAAAGAACAGTTAGTTGATCTGTTTTTAGGCGACAGGATTGTAAGAAAATAGAACCGATTTCAGATGATTTCATCCTCTTAAGTGGAAGCATATTTTTTGAAAAAGATACTTAGGTTTTAGGAAATTTAGAAATCCTTCTGTAAATTTATTTCTTCAAGAAATTTGGGTAATGAGATGGTCCAGTTGTTATGTTTGAAAATGGGTTAGTATAAAAGCATTGTTTGGGAAGGGCTTTATCTTATATAATATTTAAATCTGTGTTGAAGTATTAGAGTTTGTCTTCTCCATTCTATTACTAGCTTGGTTATCTCTTACTTGTGATTTTACCTTGAAGTTGTTAGCTGGAAAACACTGATTTATTCAGCCAATATTGAGTTTCCACCATGTATCAGGCAGTGGTATGATCCTTTCTCAGAAGATGGTATAGTCTGGTTGGAAAGTTATTTAAGAAATTTGGCAGTTACAGTACAGAGCAATGAGAACTTTAATTGGAGAAAGGTCAACAGGGCACCTGACCCATGAGAGTGATTTAAGACAAGATGTTTCTTTGGCCTCTGTGTACCTTACACAAAATCAGCTAATTCCATTTTTCTGCTTTCTCAAATGTCCAAATAGGAATAACTTACGGAAAGCTCAAACAGGACACCCAGCATCAGACTTCACATCAGATTCTTGCTGTCAAGACTGTAGAATCATTTCCTCTCACTCACTTTGCTTGTTTATAAAATAATTGGCTTCGTTGCTGAACAGAACATCTTAAAATAATTTACATACTATGACCTAATAAGATACCGACTTTAAAATCTACACAAGGACTTACTGCTTGTTTGTTTACATCATCCAGTATGAATTAGGTAAACTCAAAAGAAAATAATATTCATAAAACATTATTTCAAATATCATTTCTTATACCTCAACTTGAATGATGACAAAACTAACACTCTTTTAGGGCTTTATAGGTCTTTGCCAAAATGCCAAATTGTACTTGGAGTTAAAAGAAAGTATTTTAGAATTTTAAGTAAAATTCCTCTGTAGATTTATTCTTGTCCTTCCCTAAATAGGCAATATCTTCATTTTGGCTAAGTACCTGGCTGATCTTAACAGTACAGCACCCCGTACACCAGGAATAATTTAAACTTAAAGTAACAGAAAAAGTTATGTGAGGTCTAAACTTCAAAGCCAGTGGCACTAGTGTTATTCATGTCTTTATCCTTTCTTCCACTCTTTTAATAAGGTTTTATTTCTTCTGTACAGTTGAGTATACAGTAGAGAATATCAGAGAAAAGAGTATATGTATGAGTATTCATACATATATGAATACATAACACATGCAATATAAGTCAAATAATTTTAAAAACTACAAGAGGACCATCAGTAGGATGGGTTGACAATAGTAGGCTTATAAGAAAAGGACAGTTCTTTCCCTGAATTGTGAAGGGAGATTGGGGAAAGGAGAAGCTCTTCTGGGCTTCTGGTCTTGTCCTGCTGTCTGCAGAGATGCTGGCTGCCAGGAGTTATTCTCCATTTCTTTTCTGTTTTTGAGCCCTCTTTTTCACCACATTTGTTCTTCTTCACCTGTGCTCCTTTCATGTAATGCTTTTGTCTGCCTCTTCTAATGACTTTCAAGTCACAAGTTCTGATTCTGTCATAGGATTCATCATAGAATTTTGCAGCCAAATAGGGCTATTCTTGTGAATTAAGATGATATACAGTGTGCTTGAGCTGTTAGTGGAAAAATTGGGTGACCTTATTTTAACATGATAGTTGTGTCAAATACTGAAAAAGACTAGGAATTGTTCTGTGGGAAGATGATGTAGTTGATAATGTAGTTGAAACTGCCAACTCAGTTTTTGGATTGGATCTCAAGTTGATATTTCAGAACCTGTCTATATTTAAGACAGACACTTTGTATCGTAGTTAGCATGTTTCGCTTAAATGCTAACTCCTGAAAGCCAACTGCCTGTTGTTATTTCTAGGAAATAAAATTAGTTTAATATTGCTGTCTTACTACTGTTTTCAATTTTTCTACAATGTACTAATCATTTTGTTTTTTATTTCATTTTTATTGTAGAAAATAATTTTAATATCAAGTAACTAAAGTTATCTGAAACTATACCTTCAAAGGGTATGAATTGTATGTGTTCATTTTATATTTTCAAAGGCTAAGTAATTAAAATATATGGGAGGGCTGGGGATGTAGCCACACCTGCCTGACAAGCACAAGGTCCTGAGTTTGATTCCTGGTACCTGAAAAAAAAAGGGAGAAAAAAAAGTTAAAAAAAAAAAAGGGCCCATTAAAGTTTTAAGTATATGGGATACTTAGACTAATGAATAGAACATGACTATAACAAAATAATTTAGTGTAACTCTTTGAAAGACTAATACTGAAAAATATTCTTGCTTTTCTGGAGGAGTTAGTAATCTGTGCATATGGGCAAGGGCCTGAGTTGGAATCCCCTGCACCAAGAAAAATAAAAATGTATCAAAAAAAGATAGTGTATGCTGTTTGCTTTACTCTTTTTTAAATAATCTGGTAATACTAATTTTGAATTATAAATTTAGGTAGTATAAAAATAAGAAAGCATTGTTTTAAAATCTTATGCAAATGGGGAGGGGAGTTAGCTCAGTGGTTCTGCTGCCTGTCTCGCAAGTGCAAGGTCCTGAGTTCAATCGCTGGTACCGCAACGAAACAAAACAAAACAAAACAAAAGATCTTATGCAAATTATCTGTTTCAAAGTATTCATTGAAGCCTTGAAAACTATTTTTTAAAGAACTTTTTCAGACTCTTCTGTGGTAAAATACAAAGATGGCTTGAAGCCAATTTATGCTGATCAATTTTAACTTTTACATTATCAAATAGCAAATATTATAAACATTTTTTATCTTGACACTAACAAAGATAAGTTTCTATTTTCAAGTAGTATTGAAAATATGTAGTAGTAATTTCACTATGATATTTTGTTTTTTAGATGATATGGTTATAAATGACTAGATAAAACATTTAATGAAACATTTAATGAAAACAGTGTTTTGGTTGTAGTCGTTATATATATCCATATATGCATGTGTCTGAGTGTGAGTGTATACATCATAAAATAAACCTCTCTTACTTTAAAAATGAGAGAGAAATCAAATTCAAATCTGGTCTATAAATTCTGACCAGAGGCCTTTTGATGTTGTCAACACAAACTAATCATACATTTTTGTTAAAATGAGATTTCTCATGAATTCTATTTCATTAGTCTCTTTTTAATCATTACTCAAAATTTTCTTGTACTTTATAACCCTGAAATTTATGTCTAGCTAACTTTTGGTTAATTCATAAAATATAAATATGTAAAATATTTGATTATATACATATTTAGAAATATCTGGAAATTTTATGGGTTTGAGATGTAGTTCAGTAGTAGAGCTCTTGGCTAGTAGTAGAGCTCTTGCATGAATCCCTGGATTAGATTCCCCCTGCCCAAATCTGAAAGATTAAAAAGAAAAAAAAATAGAAGAATATACATGAAAAAGCCACCCTTCCAATAGAAGCTCTCTAACTACACATTTTCTTCCCTTGGAAGAAGCCGTGCGCCAGCTTCTTTTTTGTCTTTTTTCACACAAGCATAAGCACTCTGTTATCATCGTTCCCCTTCATACTTTGCACTCTGTCCTTGCTTTTTATTTTTTACTTATCAATACATCTTGAAGATAGTTTCATATAAAGACATAAAGATTTTCCTCATTTTATTTGATATTTTATGTGTTTGCTGTACTATGATTTACTTAACCAAAATTCTTCCATGTATCTTCTACTACATAAATGGTTTGATTTTTACATTTAAATCTATGGTACATTTTAAATATATTGAGAAGTCCTCTTTCCTGTCTTTAGTTAAACTGTCTGGGCTCCCTTGATGTCCTGAATAAATAGTTTACCTTTTGTGGTCATTTTGACTTTGTGGAAGAGCCAGAAGTTGCATAGTGCCCAATCCTGTAGATGAGGATACACTAATGTTACAAGCCTGCTCTTCCATTGGATGGTGCTTGGCAGCAGCATTCATCATATTTTTGGTAACACCTTGTAACAGCATAAAAGACAAATTCCAGAACTGCTTCAGAAAGTGGCAAGTGTGATAGGTAGGGGATATAATCTGTCCCTTGACCAAGATTAGGATTCTCCTTCCCTTAGATCATGGCTTTTAAAAATCTCAGGGCTGCAGACAGACAGGCCTGCAAACGCCCTACCGAGGTCCCTAGTCAAGTGGAGAGACAGGCAGGCCTGCGCACGCCATACTGAGGTCCCGAGTCGCGTGGAACATGCGGAGTCAGCCCGCTTCAGACAGGCAGGTCTGCGCACGCCCTACCGAGGTCCGGAGTCACTCGGAGCACGCTGAATCAGCCCGCTGCACAGAGGCAGGTCTGCACATGCCCTACCAAGGTTGCAAGTCACACGGAACATGCTGAATAAGCCCTCTGCACACAGGCAGGTCTGCGGACACCCTACCGAGGTCCCGAGTCAAGTGGAGAGACAGGCAGGCCTGCGCACGCCATACTGAGGTCCCGAGTCGCGTGGAACATGCTGAGTCAGCCTGCTGCAGACAGGCAGGTCTGTGCATGCCCTACCAAGGTCCAGAGTCACACAGAGGATGTTGAATCAGCCCGCTGCACACAGGCAGGTCTGTGGACACCCTACCAAGGTCTCAAGTGACGGGGAACACGCTGAGTCAGCCTGCCACAGACAGGCAGGTCTGGGCACGCCCTATGGAGGTCCCGAGTCAAGCAGAACACGCTGAATCAGGTCGCTGGAGAAAGGCAGGTCTGCGGACACCCTACCGAGGTCCTGA